TACAGTGTTTGACCTTGGGAGCCGCAAAGCCTCGGTCCCACGTCGGCACTGGGGAAACTTTGAACATGACGTCACCCAATGTTGGTTGACCATCATCCTCGCGTGCATGGGACAAGCGGCGGCTACTCAAGCAAACCGTGCAAGAGTCGCGTCGGGGAGCGGTCCCGGCTTCCTTGTCCAGGGTATTGACGCTGGCCAAAGCAGTGCATAAATATACTATCGATGTGGCCACAAACAACGAAATGTGTGGTGAAAAATTCCACATCCAGCAGCGTTCGCAGCCAGCATGTGGGCCTTCTCGTTCCTTCTTCTCCAGCTGCTTTGCCCTCTTGATGGATTACGAAAGGTTTATATTGAAATCATAGAGTGGCACACAATAGCTAGGATGATAGAAAATCGGTTAGACGATGACGGCAGCAGCAACGAACGCAAGCGTGGCGAGCGTCGGGACAACGATCGATGCCGACGATGTGGCCTTCGGCGTCGTCGTCGCTGGCGCCACCGCCGCACTTGACGACGGGGTCTTGGTCACAACCGTGTCCGTGATGGGCGACGCCGTCGAGTTGCCCGGTGCAGTGGTCGAGTTGCCCGGGGCCGTGGTCGAGTTGCCAGGCACCAGCGTCGTGCCGCCCGGCGCAACGGTGGAACTGCCCGGCGCGGTCGTCGAGCTACCGGGTGCAGCCGTCGAGTTGCCGGTCGGTGCAGTTGTCGTTGACGGCTTGGTAGTCGTCGTCATACCCGGCGCACCGGTCGCCGAGCCTTGGAGAGCCATGACGTAGTCCTTGAACGGCACGGACATGATCTGTGCCGACGTGACGGGCACGGGGGTCGTCACCAAGTAGCACGCGGGTGAGATCTTTGCGATCGCCGACTGGATGCTGGCGTAGAACGCCGCGCAGCTCGAGCTCTGGAGGAGCGCGTTGACTTGGGCAGGCGTGACGTTGGCCGGCACGGGCACGGCCTCGATCGAGAGCCCCGTGTCCTTGGCGCACTGGTTGAGAGTGGTCGCCGACGTGAGCGCAACCGGCGTGATGGCCGTGATGAGGTCGGCGTCCGAGCACGCGTGGTTGATCGGCGTACTTTGGGCGGTCGTCGTGGCCGCCATCGCGCAAAGGAGGAGGGTAATCGTCTGCATCCGTGCGTCGTCTGTGGCCAAAGCAAAAATGAAGAACCACCCACTTGGCGCGCTCGAACGAAAAAGTATCTTTTTTATCACCGCCTTTCTGCGACACGCCAACGCATATCGCTCGATGACGCCCATGCTATTGTGCCGCGCACACGACACTGCACTGTGCACAGTGTAGTCGACGGTGTCGCGATCAATAATGTGTCCATGTGACCAAATGTCCATGGTGCAAACGGCAAACTCAAACGGCAAGCTCAAACGGAAACTCAAGAAATGATGGTGTATCATAGCACCACGACCGTGACGCAGCTGCCGCGTGCTTGTGGACAAAGCGAGCAAGAACAATAGATACGACGTAGATTCAGCGACGCCACGTGATTGCGAAGCGGCAGCAATGCGTAGGCAGTGCTTCAAGGATCGGTGTTCTTGAAGGCAGCCTGGCAGGATTCTTCAAACCTCATCGACCCTTGGTTTCGTGCAGCAAATTTTGACCAAGTGTTGCATCCAACTTGCAAGGACGAGTGAGTCAGTAGTACATGTAGTATACATCATGGGAAAGAGAATAAGCTGTGTCAAAGTTAATGCTACGCAGTGTATCTTAGACCATGGCGAGCATGGCGACGGCACACAGCAGCGTGATGCTCGACGCCAACTGCATCGCGCTCGAGCTCACTGTCGTCGGCGTCGGTGTTGCGGTCGATGTGCTCGTCGCGGTCGGCGTCACGGTCGTCGTCGCGACAATGGTTGTCGGGGCGTCTGTCGTGGCATTGACATCAGTGGTGTTGGCAGTCGGCGCCACCGTGACGACCGCGGTAGCATTCGTCGTTGCATTGGAGCTGCTCGACGACGACGACAAGAGCAGCGTCACAAACTCGGTGGTCGAGAGGCTTGTTACGTCGGCTGTCGTCACAACGCTCGGTGATGTCTGAAGCGCGCAGACGGGCGAAATGGCAGCGATCGCGGTTGCAACGCTGCTCGCAAAGGACATGCAGTTGGTGTCGTTGAGGAAGGCGGCGAGCTGCGTCGACGAGATCGTTGATGAGCCAACAAGACTCGTGATCGAAAGCCCCGTGGCCGTTGAGCACTGCGTGAGCGCGGTCGCCGCCGAGAGGAGCACGGGTGTGACGGCCGTCTGGAGGACGCTGGACGTGCACGCGGCCGTCGCCTCGGGGGTCGCCATCGTCGAAGCAATCGCAGTCGTCGCAAGCAGAAGCGGGGTCAAGCCGTGCATATTGGTGAATTGGATGGTGCTGGAGGCGAAAAATGCAGAAATGAACACCGCCGTCCCGGACGACACGGTTTGCGTCGGGTAGCTACGACGGTTCCATCGCAGGTAATAGCAATTGAACTATTGACAGCAAATATGTGTCTATACAAACGGCCAATGACGATTGGACTAGCGTTTGACACAAGGCAATATATATTTGTGTCCAAGAGGAATATGTTTTTCTCGTGGCCACGTCATCGGCCACCGTCGAGCTTGGTATTCCTACGATACTAGTTACTACAAGCGAGCCAGCAACTCGACGTTCTCGCCAGCTCCGCTAGATCCTCGGGGCTTTTGTGGGGCGTTGCCACCAGCACCAAATACACTCGTCAGAGAATATATTTTTAACAAATAAAATTCTGCTTCTATTGACGCAGAAATCTACATGTGGCACGCCATCTCGCGTGTACTTGGCAGTCTCGTGAGCTACCCGTCAGACGCTGTGCGGTGACTCTGACGTGTTGATGCGCTTTGATGGAATGCTACGCCTCGACCGTTTCGCTGCACGCAGCAACTGCCACGTCAAGCCTCGGTGGCGCTGCCACGTCATGAACGCCAGTTACTGAGTGGGGGCCAGATGCAAGCGCAACACGTAGCAATAGTCTACGTCGCTAATACCGTGGGTACGCGTCTTCTTGCAGCGTATTGGGCCACGTCACGTGGACGTAGCGGTTGATGTACCAGTGCATTTTTCCGATATCCACCCAACTGATTTTCTATCATTTTTCATTTCGCCTTACGCGGCCATAGCCCCTTGTACTTGCTCGCAAATGGCCGTGAGCTCCGTGCACGCGGTGCCAATTGTCGCCAACAGCGGTGCAAGCGGTTCCTTCTTGAGCGCTTCCAGCAGCCGGAGCACACCCACAGCGTTTGCGAGCACATCGTCTGCTGGCGCTCCCGCCGAGACTTCGAGATGGCTCTGGATCGTGTTGAACACCAAGCACCTACATACAACACGCTCAGACATTGTATGATCACCCACCTCAGACGTCTCTACCGCAAGAGGCCGAGTACGACATCGTCGACGTGAGTTGGGATGCGCACCCAGGCGTGAACGACGACAAGGCGCAGCGTCTCAAGCGCGTCGAGCGTCAGGAGCTTGTTCTCGAGACACGCCAAGAGCACCGTCAAGACCGACGGAAGGTACTGCACGATCTGCACGCTGTGTGGCGCGCCCATAGCAACGATCCACGGGCGCAAGCCCACGACGTACACGCGCTTCATGCTCACGTCCGAGGTCATGTCCCAGGACCGCAATAGCGTCGGGAAGAACCGGTCGTAGCTCGTGATATCGTGAGCCACCGACGTGACCGCCAACGTGTCAGCAAGGCAGCGCAGCGTCGCTTGCAGAAAAGACGCGTCGCTCATGGCAATCTTGAGGGTTTCGTACAGCATGTGCAACACAATGTCGCTGTGCCACCGGACGTCGGTGGGCGTGGCCTCGGCGACGACATGCTGCAGGACGTCGACGCCGATGCGCTGGACCGACACGATCGTTTGGTCGAGCAGCGGCAGTGCGAGCGCGAGCGTGCGCCCGACGACGTCGTGGTCGAGCGCCGGAAAGGCCAGTTGCCGCACAAGGTACCGAAACGCAAACGGCGCCGGGCAGCCCGCGCGCACCCACGTCTCCTTGGGGCACTTGGTGCCTACGACCGAGAGCACGCGCTTGCAGTGCCTATATGATAGCGTCTGGCATGAGAAGCCACAGAGAGATGACAGCATCGTACACGACGACAAGCTCATCGCGCGAGGGCGGCGCGAGCCCGCGGCGCCATCCGACGTGCGCGCACGCCGCATCGAGGAGCGCTTCTGCTTGTGCATGCGCGGTGGGCGTATGCCACGGCGCGTCGTCACAGAGAAAGTAACTGCACGCGAGCAGCAACGTTGGCAGCCACTTGGCCGTGTCACGTGGGGCTGGCAGCGATGCATGGAAGGCCGCGTCGAGTCGCGCAAGGACGCGGCCGCACTGCAAGATGGGATGCACGACACTTGCAAGGTACGCCGGCGTGAGTGCGTCGGCGTCGGCTAGGAGCGTGGTTTGTAGCAAGAGGTCCGCCGTGTCGGCCCAAAGCGCGTCCATCTCGCCGAGCGACGCCTCGAGATGGAGCTCGGTCTGCTGCTCGTACCGGCCGAGCGCCACTTCAGCTGCCGCGTCGATGACGATGGAGCCGCCGGCAAAGACGGCGGCTTGGAGCGGCGCCACGCACTCGGCTCGGAAGGCCGCGACAAGGTGGCCGCGTTCGATGACCATGGTCGGTATCCTCTGAGAGTAGATATTGTATATTGATTATTGGAGGTCATGGTTCCGCTGCCGAGATCGCGCCGCCAAGCATGAAGAACGCCCGACCGCCGTCGTTGATGCGTATATGTACGGCAGGGTCGTGTAGCACCATCAACGGCGCTTTGGCTAGGCTAGATGGCGCCGGCGTAGCGCAGCTCATTGACGGCGAGGCTCGGTTCAATGCGGAGCTTGCCGCCACTTCCGGCATCCGTTGCTTGGCAAAGATTCGCCGGCGATGACACGTTGGCATCGAAAGGGGTCAACACCAGACGGGCACACATCCAGCTTGGCATGGCAGAAGACCGCGGTCGCTGTCAAGAGGAAGAGTGTTTTGAGATATCGCAGGATTTCAATTCCATTAACAGTTTCCTCCCTTAAGTTGTCGAAATCAGCTCCCCTACACGGCTTTAGGGGCCGAGAGGGTATCCGGTACGAGGCAAAGCTACAACACTTAGTAGTAGATCTGCATGGCGGGGCCCATGGTCGACTTGAGGTAGAGGACCTTGATGTTCTGCCAGTTCTTCTTGAGGAGCGAGGCGAGGAAGTTGGCGGCCAACTGGGTGTTGACAATGATCTCTTCCGGGGTCTGGCCGACGTGGGCGACGGCAAGGTTGAGGCAGAGCACCTTCTTCATCTGGAACTTGATCGTGGCACGGACGGCGTTGGCCTTGTCGTTGATGTCCTCACCCGACGTGATGAGCGTGGGGAACTTGCCGGCCTTGTTGAGCGAAGGACCGAGCAGACGCGGGATCTGCTTGATGAGCGTGTCGGAGGCAAGGAACGCATCGTACTTCTTGGCGAACTTCTTGATGACCTTCTTGTTCTTGTTGAACTTCTTGAGGTCATCGACCGTCATGAACTCAAAGCCGTTCTTCTCGGCAAGCTCGCAGTGCACGGCGTTACCGATGATGCAGATCTTGAGGTTCGGCTTCGGGACCGTCGGGAGCTTGAACGTGCCCGAGAAACGCTTGTCCTTGGTCGGGTCGTAGTTCTTGAGGGCGATCTGGAGTTCGATCGTCTCGTGGAAGTTGCGCTTCTTGCCCTTGACGTCGTCGTTGCCGATCTTGATCGTCTCACCGGCCGAGAAGGCGAGGATGTCTTCGACGGCCTTGGCCAAAAGCTCCGAGTTCAACTTGCTCATACTTTACTGTGTCGCTGGAACAACGATAAAGGGGAAATACTACGGCGTGGCACATGACGCACCATCGCCACCAGCCATGTCCAGCCAACGCTTTTTGGCCAATGGCCTTGCGCCATGCCTGGTCTCCGCCAATGGCATCGCGTGGAAGTCGGATTTTTGCACCCACCAATCCTGGCCCGAGGCTAATTGCACGCAATTGCACGGCCGGCTTGCGGATTGCAGATTGCTGGCCAAGGTCCAGGTCGATACGGTCGACCAAGCCTGGCTGGACGATGGTGCAAGGGCGCGCCGCATGAACGCGCGCAGCCGACAGGCAAGGAAAAGAACGACGCGATCGCTGCACTGGAGCGCAGTAGCGCAGATGGCCGGACGTGGAGCACGATGATCACCGCCGGCGTGGCATCGGCATTGGTTCTTGGCAGCGGACAGCTTGCGATGGACAGCTCGTCGCTGCGCGCACCCAGACCGCGCCAATATGTAGGCATCAAGTATGCAAGGCGCGCTCGCGTGGCGTCACTGTACCGACGCGTCGTGGGACTGCAAGCAGACAGGCAAGCATGCAAGAGCTGTAGGAGGCATCGTACCATCCAAGCGACAGAGCCCAAGAGACTGTTGCAGAGCTAGACTGCGACTGCGACCCCGTCACAGCCAACTTGTTGGGCGATATCAACGAGGACGTCCAAGTATTACGTTATACTAAAGCGCTTCGAGCGACCACAGTGGCGTGCCTAGGCTGGAAGAGTGCATGGCTGCCAAGCATGCCCGATATATATATGAACGTGTTGCGCGTTATCTTGGATATTACACGAAGACTTCGCATACGTAGAGACTAGCAATCTCCTTCTTCTTCATTCGCTCGCCGGGCCGTGCCTGCGCGAGCGGCGGCGCGGGGCCGTCAGCATAACAAACACACATGCTTGTGTATCCCATGCCATTGCTGCAGCGGAACGATGCAGGCGCGTCCAAGAGCCAGACACGCTCGAGCCACTACCTCGTGCACGCGCTCTGCCTGTCAGTCGCCAACGCATCAAAGCTGCAACTTGGTTCCAGCTGTGGTCACCTACAGTGAGTAGTTGTGATCGCCTCGTCATGGCGTGATGCCACGGCCTTCATGGACAGTTTGATACTCCATACTACACGTATGGTCTCCGAACTCGCCGCAGGAGGATGCCCACATTTCCCCAAGGCGAATGGTGTGAGAAGCGTGAGCTGGTGCAGGAACGACGGTATGTACATGGGAAGTACAATATCTCATATCGTCGTTCCCTTCTTTTGGTTGGCTTCTTCTTTTCCGAAAGAGTCGACACGGCAGCACTCACAGTTGAGCTTCGGTACCGTTCTCAAACCAATGCGCGCAGATCGCCCGTCCGTCGAAGAGCAATGGAAGAGGCGCTGAAGAGCCGTGTCGTTCGTTCGAGACGCCAGTCTCGTCACAGAACGACTGGCGAATCAACCGGCATTCGTCGACAACCATTGGCCGCAGCGTCTGTTTTGTTTTGCACGCGATTGATAGACCGATCGACCAACTATAAGCAACGCGAGAGGACCATTTTGTGGCTTGCGTCTGGCGTTGTTCCCGCCAAAACGAGCAAGCGCATCCCGTGCGGCCGAGCTGCGTCACCAAGGGTGTCGTAGCGCCAGCGATGCGCACAGGGCCCTGATGTGCATAACCACAACATAGAGTGTAGCGGTATTGGAACGACGACCGCAGATGTCGTATCCCTAGCTCTTTTCGCTTGGACTCTATTGGAGTCATATGCGATTTAGTCACTAGCGACAACCGCGTCCACAATGTTGTGCAAGAAAGGGCTGGACCGCTTTTACCACCAGGCGCTGCAGTGCGACGAGTTGTTGGTTCATTTCCGGATTCACTGCCATGCACTACATCTCCGACGTGGCCGACGGCACGGCGTACCCAAGCTACCACCATCAAGACTCGATTGGCGTCATGGTCGAGATGACGCCGAGCGAGCCGTCGACGACGTACATGGCCTCGCGGACGCCGCGAAGCGAGAGCGGCCACTCCAACTACGACGAGCAGCACGACGTTGCCAAGCCATTGCCGCCCAACAGACGATTCAGCCAAGACTATGACGCGAACCGCTCGACGTTTCGCCACACAAGGTCATTGGCGCGGGAGGCTGCCAAGGCGCAAAAGCTACGGGAGCTCGAGACCATTTCATCCGACTTGGACGACTGGAAGGACAATGTTGCGCAGGTAGACACCTTGTTTCAACCATTGCTTTGATCTCATCGCATTGTATTGCATTAGATGGCCGGCGCCTTCCGAGCCAAGGTGCGCGACTCGATGCTGTTCAAGCTGCTGCATCAAGACGCGCCCGACGCCTTTTCGCCGTTTGATCTGGACGCGATCGACGATGCCAAGAAGCGGCTGCTGCAGCACCCCGTGATGCGCCTCATGGTGCTTCTCAAGTGGCGGGTACGCTACATATTGCAAGTATTTCGAGCCAAAGCTGAGATTCTTGTACGGGTGTAGGCGTTTGGACTACGCATGTATTGCGAGCAGCTTCTCATGCACTGGCTGCTCCTCCTCACGTTCACCGTCTCGCTCGCCATTGGCTTTGGGATTGCGACCAGCGCCAAGCTCGATCAAGTGCTCGTTGGGTGGCTTGTCGGCATGCCCTTCCTCTTGGTCTCGCTTCTTGCAACGCGCTTCTCGACGTGGAAGAACAAGGTGGTGTGCGCCTGCGTCGTATTTGTTCTTGTCAGCGGCGCGATCACCGGGCTCCTGCTCAAGTACGACAAGGTCAAGGCGCTCTGCAACTCGACGGCACCGATCGACGAGATATGGGACGAGGACGGCAAGGACGGGATCAACAAGAGCTTTGTCTCGCTCAACAACGCCGTGCTCGGACTCTCGGCGCTCTACTTTTGCCTCTTTGAGTCGCGCGAGTTTGCGGCGGATATGCCCGACGATGACGTCCGCCGTGGCATTCTCGGCCGCTGGCTCCGCGCGTCGCGCTACATGCTCACGTCGCTCGTCGACTTGGTTTGCGGCAAGCCGACGTCGCCGTACCTCGAGTCGTACTGGAATCGCATCCAGCTCCCGACCTTCTTCTTCGTGTTTGTCTATGTCTTTTGCGAGTTTGCATCGCCCTTCTCGGCCAACATGCGTGTCTACGGAGGCATTCCCGCGCTCTTTTTGCTCTGGATCATGGGCGTCTCGTACCTCGAAGTCTTCCCCGCGGTCGGGTATCTCCTCCCGATGATGCGGCGCATGCTCGCCGACGTCTTCCGCTACTTGGCCTTCTACTTTCCGATCCAGTGCGCGTACACGTGTGCATACTACCTCCTCTTCAAGAGCCAAGGCTACGATCTCAAGCCGTACGAGCCGGACCAAAAGTTTATCGACAAGTTTAACGAGTCTCTCAGCGTTCTCTTTCCCGGTGCCAACACCACAGACGAGACCCTGGTGACGAGCCTCCTCGAGATCCTCAAGACCAAGGACAAGAACGACATGTTTCAGGGCTACGAAACCGTGCCCAAGAGCTTCCTCACCACGTACCTTGTGACCTTTGGCCAAATCAATTTGGAGCCGTTCGACCAGCTCGCGACGACGTCGGCATCGATCCTCGGCTACCTCCTCGTGCTAACGCACGCGACGATCGTGATCGTGATGCTCCTCAACGTGCTCATTGCGATGATGGACAAGACGATGGGCGCCTACATGGACGAAGCCAAGGTCGAGGCGACTGTGACCTTTGCCGAGTGCGTGCTGCGGATGGAGAAGACGACGACGCAGGCGATGTCCGAAGTGTACTGGCGACAGCTCGACAAGTCCAAGGCCCAAGTTTTGTATGAAAACATGCTGCGCGCCGACGCCAACGAGAAGAGCGAGGACAGCGCAGTGCTCCACGCGATTGCGAAGATCAGCTCCAGAGTCAAAAGCCTCCAGACGCGTCGCAAGTAGGCTTTGAAATCTTGTTGATTGATGGACCTTTGGCACGCCAGCCTTGGTCGTCTGGGCAACGCCCCTTGCTACTGCACCTTCGAATTTTCATTTTAAGTTTGTAATTTGCGTTTGCACTTGAGTTTGCACTTTGAATTTGCACTAAGATCTACGTATCGACGACGTTGAGTTGGCGCTCTCAGTTTACCCATCGCACCAAGTATGAGAATTGAGTTTTGACACGGGTACAGTATGTAAGCAACTGCACTGCCGGGTATGCGGCACATATGGGCAATTGGGAACCCTGCGCAGTGACAGCCCGGGAAACGAGTGAGGAACCGGTATAAAAGTTCGTGAAACGTGGTACACTTCCAGGCGCAGCAAGGAAGTTGAGTTTTTGCCGTCCGGATAGACGCGAAGAGTCGACAGTGGGTAGATAGTCATTTTGCATTTAGCCTTGTCGATCCTAACCCGTCACGCCACTCACAATGGCTAGCGGGCAATCAATTCGTCTATTGCCCCCCACTCGAGCGTCGTACAGTACAAGGAAAAAACGAGGGTATGCAAAACATGTGTAAATGAGTATAATCATGTGATTCTCAGTCAAACTTCGGTTGCAGCCACAGGATGAAATCATTGCTTTAGACTGTGTCGCTAGCATCATGCGTCGTGGCAGGATTTGACTTGGCTAACTTTCCAATGGCTTCTTGTACCTCCTCGCCATTTCTCTTTTCTCGGCGCATCGTGCGTTGCACCGAGATCATGTGTTTTTTGTACTCTTCGCCGTTGACCGCTTTGTCCAATCTTTCCTTGGATGTCTTGAACGTCTTGGTCTTCTCCATGCGCAGCACACACTCGGCAAAGGTGACGGTCGCCTCGACCTTGGCTTCCTCAATGTACGCGCCCATGGTCTTGCTCATCATAGCGATGAGCACGTTGAGGAGCATCACGACGACGATCGTCGCGTGCGAGAGCAAGAGAAGCTAGCCAAGCACATACGCGGCCGGCGAATCCAAGGCTTTGAACGGCTCGAGATTGATCTGCGCAAAGACGACGAGGTACGTCGTGATGAAGCTCTCAAGCACGGTTGCATATGGCGCGAACGTCTCGCTCTCGCCTTGGCTCTTGAAGAGGAGGTAGTAGGCACAGGTGTAGGCGCACTGGATCGACCAGTAGTAGACCAAAAAACTGGACACGTCGGCAATCATGTGCCGCATCATCGGGAGAAGGTACGAGATCGAGCCAAAGACCTCAATGTACTGCACTCCCATGATCCAAAGAAAGAAGACAGTCGCGATCCCCGCGTAGATGCGCATGTTGGTCGAGAACGGCGCCGTAAACTCGCAGAGGACGTAGACAAGGACGAAGAAGAAGGTTGGGAGCTGGATCCGGTTCCAGTACGACTCAAGGTACGGCGTCGGCGTCTTGCCAATGGCCAGTTGGTACATGGACGAGGCAAAATGCCAAGGCGCGACGACAAAATACCAGTGGCACTGCTCGAGGAGCGGCAGCGTCGGCGCACTCGGATCTCAAATGTCGGCGGCGAGCTCACGGAGTTCAAAGGTGCAAAAGTAGAGCGCCGAGAGACCGACAAGGATGTTGTTGATGCGGCCAAACATAAGCCAGCTGACTTGATCTTGGAGCGGTTCGAACGCGTACTGGAGACCGCCACCGACACACCCAAGGACCGCAATCGTGATGCACGCGCAGGGCACCTTGGTTTCCCACACGACAATGCGCGTCGCAAAGGCTGCAATGACGAGGACCGAGCACGTTGTGAGCCAGCCAATGAAAAGGCTGTGGTAGGTCGACTCGGGTGCGACGCCAAGACCCATCGAGAGCGAGAGCGTCATCGTAAAGAGGAGCAGCCAATGCATAAAGAGGTGCTCGCAGTACATGCGAAAGCCAAACGCCTTGGGGATGTATGAGATCACGTGTGCCAGCGAGTGATCCTACCTGCCACTTGAGCAAGACGATGACGCGCATGACGGGGTGCTGGAGCACCTTCTTCTTCTCGTCTTCAAGCGCATCGCGATCAAACCACGACACGCCAACCTTGGTGTCGTGGTGCAGCAGCTGGAAAAGGAGCGAATCGCGCACAGAGCGACCGAGCTCGTCGCGCACGGCCTCCGGAGCCAAGATCCATGTCGAGAGGAGCCCGGCCTTGGCGCGTACGTCCTCAATCGTATTCAGCTCTTTTCCGCTGGTCGAGGTTGAATTCTCCGAAGGCGGATCTTGCGACGGCTCTTCCAAGGGACTGCGTTTCGCTACGCAGCGGTTGGTCACCGATGCAACGTCGATCAAAGCCTGCCGCGGCGCGGACGTGGCGGCCGCGGTGCGATCGGTGAACGGCATCGGCAAGGAACGGACGTCATCGTGCGAATAACCGCTCGTACTCGTCGGTGTCCGCGCACTCGTGTACATCGTTTCCGGCTCGGCGCTTGGCGTCATCTCGTCCATGACACCGATCGTGTCTTGGTGCCGGTAGCTCCGATGCGTGGTGCCCTGGGGCGCGTCCGTGATGTAGTACATGGCTGTAAAAGTGAAAGTGAGCTACGTAGTGAGCTATACGCTGTCTTCGCAGGCAAACGTCTTCCAATGAAGGCGACAACACGACATATGTTGTACCTTGCACAATGTTGTAAAGCCTGTTGCTCTCGTTCGCGTATCGCAAATGAAAAGAACTGCTGGCCAAGAGAAATGGTGCCACCATCATGCAAAGTCAAGGCCACTTGCGCAATGACCGAGGGTGGGATACTAGTACGTGCTACATACAACCAACAGCCACGAGCCCCATACCAAGTACTAGAACAGACTCAACGCGACGGGGCTTTGCGCGCTGCAAAGGACAAATCACCCAATTACGTTGCACAATCATGTGCGGTACGCTCCAACTTCCGATCATCGATCATCACAAAGGGCCAACAATTGGTGACACCGATTGTTGGTCCTTACGGCGCATAAATACAATGCATTGTATAATTTAATGCAGCGTATACCTTACCCCGGTACGCTTCCTTCTTTTCTTCCTTTTCTTCGAATGAACACCATTTTGCGGGTAGTCGTCACTCACTCCCTGCGTTTCAACAAAGCTATCGAGTCGTTGCAGCTGTGGTCCCAGCGAGCAATAAATAGGCGGCTCGTGCTGCCAGGATGGAATTCCTGACATTGAAAAAACATTAAAAACAAAAATAAAAGCTAAAATGTTATCAAGCGGTTCTCAGTGTGTAGTTTTGCATTAAAGTAGCTCAAGTGTACGTCCCACAAACGAATTTAGCGTCAATATGTAGGTGCATTCCTATTAGGTGGCACCTCCGGGCGCAGCGAGGACGTTGAGTTTTGCCGCCCAGATCGACGTGATGAGTCGGCAGTAGGCAACATCGTCAACTTGCATTTAGCCTAGTCGCTTCTAAGCTAGTGGTCAATCGAGTCATCTATTCCCCCACTCGAGCGTCGTACACTTATACAAGTTCGCAGCCAGTGCCATCAGGAGACGGCAAGTGGGAAGAGTAGGAAGAATCTTAGTTGGACTTCAGTGCAGATGGAGAAGGACCGACGCCATGCGCCTCGTCACACGACGTGTCCCATGGGACGAGGCTGACGTCCACATGTGTTGTATGCGATTGCAGACGCCGAGCCCACAACGTTGTGGAAGGTTCTTTGTTCTCTATACCGAGCGTGTCGTGTGCGTCCGACTTGAATCATTTCTGGTTTCGCGGTCGTCATGCGCTTCAGCTCTAACGCCAACGTCGGCGCGACGTATCACGGCTACGGACGTCGTGACGAGATCGGTGTCATGATCGAGATGACGCCGAGCGAGCCGTCGACGACCTTTCTGGCGCCGCGGGACTCGGAGAGCGACGATGGTAACGACGACGTGGCCAAGCCGTTTCCGCCAAGCCAACGAGGCTACGAGAACGACCTTGATACCGGTCGTCCGACGTTTCGTCACACGACGTCGCTCCAACAAGAAGCCGCCAAGGACCTAAAGCTCCGCGAGCTTGAGGCGTTTGCCGCCAAACTCGACGGCTGCAAGGACTATATCGCCTTGGTATGTTAACATCCGAGGCGTCACATATTGTCACTCAGTACCAAATCTTTAGATTGCCGGTGCGTTCCGGGGCAAAGTGCGCAACTCGATGCTGTTTTCGCTGCTGCACAACGACGCGACCGCCGGCATGGACGAGTGGGACCGTGATGTGATCCAAAACGAGAAGAAGAAGCTGTTGCAACACCCCGTGATGCGCCTCATCGTAATCCTCAAGTGGCGGGTATGTCACGCTGACTGCTTGCAATGAATGTGCTCACACGATGACACTGTGCAGGCGTTTGGTGTTCGCATGTTTAGCGAGCAGCTCCTCATGCACTTACTGCTGCTTTTGACGCTCACAGTGTCGCTCACTATCTCGCTCGGGACTATCCAAGGGGATCCAAAAGACGATCCAGATGGCGACAAAGAATTCAAGAAAATTGCTGGCTCTTGGCTCTGCGGCACCGCGCTTCTGCTCTTGTCGCTGCTCGCGACGCGCTTCTTGACGTGGCAAAACAAACAGGCGTGTGCGTGGGCAACACTCGTGCTTGGCGGCTGTGCGATCACCGCCATCTTCCTCAACCTTGACCACCTTGTCGAGCTCTGCTACTCGGACGCGTTTGTCAACCTCAACAACGGACTTGTCAGTCTCTGCGCTGTCTACTTTTGTATCTTTGAGCTCCGCGAGCTCGCCGCCGACTATCCCGACTACGCTGTCTTTCTTAGCGGCGACTCGCTCATGTATTGGCGCCTCGTCCATGTCCCAACCCACTTTATCACGTCAATCTACAAGCTCGTCTGCACCAAGACGCCGTCGCCGTACCTCGAGTCGTACTGGAACCGGATCCAGCTCCCGCTCTTTTTGCTTGTCCTTGTCTACGCGCTCTGCGAACTCTGGACGTATTTCCCGTTCGAGATGTGCGTCTACCTCGGCATCCCGATGCACTTCGTGCTCTGCCTCATGTGCGTCCAGTATCTGGAAGCCTTCCGCGATGTCGGGTACCTCCTCCCGATGATGCGGCGCATGCTCACCGACGTCTTCCGCTACTTGGCCTTTTACCTCCCGATCCAGTGCGGCTACGCCTGCGCCTACTACCTCCTCTTCAAGAGCCAAGGCGAGAACCTCAAGCCGTACAAGCCGGATGAGGATTTTGCAGACAACTTTAACTCTTCGCTGAGCAAGATCTTCCCGGGCGCCAACACCACAGACGAGACCCTGGTGATGAACCTCCTCGAGATCCTCAAGACCAAGGACTCGAACGACATCTTCCAAGGCTACGAAACCGTGCCCAAGAGCTTCCTCACCACGTACCTCGTCACCTTTGCTCAAATCAACATGGAGCCGTTCAACCAGCTCGCGTCGCCAGCCGCCTATGTACTCGGCTACCTTCTCTTGGTCACGCACGCAACCATCGTGATCGTCATGCTCCTCAACGTCCTTATCGCGATGATGGACAAGACGATGGGCGCCCACATGGACGAAGCCAAGCTCGAGGCGTGCGTCACGTTCGCCGAGTGCGTCTTGCGCTTGGAGAAGACGACGACGTCCGCGATCTCCGACGAGTACTGGGGCAACCTCAACATGGACAAGGTTGAGAACCTCTACGAAGAGATTGTGCGCGCCGACGCCAACGAAAAACGAGACGACGACGCGGTGCTGGACGCGCTCGCGTTGCTGGGCGCCAACGTCGACGACCTCGAGAAGCGCGCGTAACTGTACCGTAATGAAAAAAAAAAGTCTGCGTATACATCGTGGGATCCTGGGCAATCATAGGCTTGGCTCTTGAAGAGGAGCCACATGTAGTACGCACATGTGTACGCGCACTGGGTCTTTTACTGCCGCGCTCGCTGAAGATGACAGCTTCAGCGGCTGAGCCGCGGCTCGAAGCGAAAAGTCGTCGGCTCAGGCTCCATTTTTCGAGCCGGCTCTGAGCCGGCTTCAAGCTGAGCTGCGCCGAGTGGAGTCAGCTACGCCGTTCGAGCCGCGGCTCCGTATCAGTTGGTACTAAACCTCGAGAAGCGCTCGTAACTGCAATGAATAGTAACAACTTTATGAGCATTTTTATCATTTGTGTATCGCAGTTGTTGTTGGGATCCTACTGCTGTTGTTTGTGCCCGCACATGACTGCATAAAATACCGCATCGTGGTGACCAGACAGCTCGGCGAGCGAATGCCAGCAGAGTGACGTCACTCATCGTCCGAGTTGAGATCATCGTAAGGTCGTTGAGCGTCAAGCTGGTTCCAGTGGGCGTGTTGGACGATCGTCACTTTGCCGTATCTTTATCCGGATCCGGATCCAATTTTTTCTGCCATCTTGCACTATCTCAACGAGCGCGTGCAAACAACAAGTCCAGTTCAGGTACCTGTCCCGACATTGAACTCGGTGCAAATGATAGCACTTGCACTGCAGCGCAATGTGGCAGTTGCCCACAAGATTCATTTTTGCTCCCGCCCACGCCTTGGACATGCCGCACGCTGACGCCTCGCACGCATTCGACTTGGAATGCGGTGCTCCAACGCTCACAATGACAAAGGCCAAACACATTGAGGCCTTGCACAATAGAGCACTCTCCTTCTTCCTCGTCCGTTCGCCGGGCCATAGCGGCGCAAACCGCCATGACGAGAGTATCCGGATAAGCACAGTAGATAACCACAACATACTTTGGATGACTACTCGGCGAGTGCATGGTGTTGGACGCGTACAATCCTGTGCAACCCGCGGTGGCGCGCGTCGATGGCCACGAGAGGCTTGGATGATCGACCTGTGTTCCAAGCTTCCATTTTTATGTAAATCGATGATAGCACGGGTGGTAGGTAGTACTATTGCAGCAGAAAAGCGGCGGGCCCAACAAGCCGAGTTCATTCCTCTGCGACCTCCCGTCGCCTCGAATATCTACCAATGGGTGAGCTTGAATTACTTACCAGCCAATCTGAAAGCTCCAGTTTGGAGAATCCAGCCATGCGCGATCTGGATTGGTCGAAACAAACGAGATATCTGTCCAGTACACACCGCAGCAACTTTTACAACG